CCCATAGAGACACATAACGGTTCGTTTTGAACAAAGGTTTATAAATACTTCCTCTATTCATGTGAGGGATCACTTTTGCTCATTCCAACAGCTGAGAAACACCCTTGAGAGTGCCAAGAAGAGCAAGGTCCTAGTGAGGTGATTGAGATTTGAGAATCCAAGAGAGAGACCTCATTAGTGAAAGCAAGAGTAGCAAAGTGTGCATCCACCCTTCTCATTAGGCTTGTCATGGTCAAGTGAGAGTTCGTGCTTGTTACTCTTGGTGATCGCCATCACCTAGACAGCTTGGTGGTGATTGGGAGCTTGGTGATCATCCGGCGGAGCTTGTGGATGACCCAACTCAAGTTGTGAGCGGTTGTGGGTGATTCACCGCGACGGAGTGTCGAAGAATCAACCCGTAGAGAGCACTTGATCCTTGCACGGATCAAGGGGGAGCTACACCCTTGCGCGGGTGCTCCAACGAGGACTAGTGGGGTGTGGCGACTCTCCGATACCTCGGCAAAACAACGCCACGTTCCTCCTTCTCTCTTTACTTCAAGCATTTACTTTGAGCAATTCAATTCTTATCTTTACAATCATATAATTGCCATGCTAGAGTAGGATTGGAATATAGGTTGCTAAACTTTTGTGCGGTAGAACAATAGAAATACTTTCTAGGCACAAGGGGTGAAGTGGGCTAACCGTAGGGTTTAATTAGTACAAAGAATTTTAGAATTAGCCCAATTCACCCCTCCCCCCTCTTAGGCATGTTGATCCTTTCAGAATCTACGCTTTCTGAAAGAGAAAACATATTCGAAGAATATGTCATGGACTGCGGGTTCGAATATAGAAAAGTGCAGGGGCTCTTTAGAAAAATTGCCAAACGAACTGGTATAGGTGAATGTCGGCCGTTGGAGTAGATCTGGATGGATTAGATTAAAAGAGGGTGGTAGAGAGAAAAGGCGGCCGACCAGAACAGTAACAGGTGCGGCGGCTGCCGTGATTGGCGGTGATCGAGCTCGCCGGCGCACATGGTTTGGGCCCTAGAGGCCACAGTTTGATGAACCGAGAGCACCGGATCAAAGAGGAGACGAAGGCGAACTCACCAAGGGGATTTACGCAGACAAAGGCGGGGCCGCAGCGACGTGCGGCTCAGCGGGCGGACGGCATCGATCTGCAAACGACGACGACGATAAGCAAGCAACCGAAAGCAAGAGAAAGGAAGGGAAAAGATCCGGCGGCTTCGCAAACTCGACCCGAAGCTCGGAGAAAAGCTTATGGCGGCGTTGAAGCAACGAAACGGCGACACGGGCTCGGCGACGACGGTGACGCTTAGGATTGCGACGGCTGTGAGCTCTAGACGAGGTAGCGGCTTGCTCTAGGGTTAGGTGGAGGTGGTTTGCGTAGGGGGCACTATTTGTGGGGGCTTCGACGTGTGGGTCACGCTAACCGAGCGAAGACAGCGCGGAGGCGGACTCCGGATCGAGCAGAGTCCGGGTTGGAGATGGGAGCGAGGTAGGAGAGGGTGCCGACGTGCGGGGCCTGGCTGCCAGTGAAACAAGGCGGAAGAGAGGGAGAGAGACCCCTACGCTGGGCTTTAGCCCTAGTTGGGCCAGCTCGGCCGATGGGCCTGCTGCAGGGAGAGGGAAGCCGAGCGGGCCAAAAGGAGAGGGAGAGGGGAGAGGAAAAGACCTCCTTTTCTTCTTCTTTTCTAAAATTCCAAGGAGATTTTCAAATATATTTTTGAATTCTCTTTTGAGTTTTGAAACAAACCACTCAATACAAATTAATATGCAGCGGCATGTATGCACAAACATGTAGCTAGGCCTTATAGTTGTTTTTAATTTAAGAAAAGTTATTATTCCTCTAAGTTTAAATGCTCACAAAAATGCATAAATAAATCAAATTAACCTATTTTAAAATGTTGCAAATTTCAGGGTGTTACAAAGCAATTCATAAGTGCCGAGGGGCTTGTTTCGCAACTCCTCGCTCCTTCGCCTTGAAAGGTGGGATTGGCGCCAAAGCAATTCATAAGTGACGAGGGGCTTGTTTCGCAACTTCTCGCCCGTTCGTCCCGAAAGGTGGAGGGATTGGCGCCAAATCAATTCATAAGCGTTGTGCTGGTTTCGTAGCTCCTCGCCCCCTCGCCAAAAAAAGTATGAGGGTCAGTGCCAATACCGAGAGTCTCTTTTCGCCGTCTCTCGTCCGTTCAAATGTTATGAAGAATAGCACAGGGCGAAGATAGATTATTAATGTTGATGCGAGATGATTGTCGGTTCTTCCGACGCCCGCACTCATCAGCCTTCAGTTTGCTGACCTGGTTTCTTCCGAGCGAAACCTGGTGGACCACCTGTAAACACAAGCACTAGAATATTCGGTTTGGAAAGGAATCCCTTCGTGCCTAGTGTTGGCCGCATTTCGCTCGCCGCTCTCGATCCCACTTTCATTTTGCCCTTGCCATTTCGCCGGTGCGAAATGACGAAAATGGGTGACTTATCCGAAAGGTTAAGTAGGATATAACATGTTTTTTTTCGGAGTATAATGCGAATCGAATACTTATGTTTACTAATCCACAAATAAGCCACAAAGCGAAGTCTTCATCATGTGCTGAAGCACAGGTCCTGACACCTGAGTGCGAAGTCTCCTCGTCAGAGCGAATAGTGCTTTCCTGAAGACTTCGCTGGTCTTGAATGCGTGGTTACTCACTGGAATATTAATGCTCGGACATCTGAAATGATTGACACTTCACTGTTACCAGTTCGAAATCCAAAATATACACATATATACATTTTTTGGGTTACGAAAACCCGTTCTTCCAAAAGCTGGTGACATAAAAAAATATATAAAAACAATAATAATAATAATAAACAAAACACGACTTGTGTTTCACAGTGGAGGGTAAAGCCCTAATGCTTCGTGCGTGGGTTCATGCCCAAGCGTTTCTACAGCTTTTGTGGATTGAGGTAATGATTTATCTGAGCACAACTGGATTTGCCAATAAAAGCTAAGTTTTTAAAACAGAGAACAAAGGGAGCAAGGTGGTTACTAAAATGCATGTAACAAGGCCCGAAAGGGTTCAGGTTCGAAACCCCGAGTGTAGGGTCGAGAAATGACAGAGTTTGCTAAAAAGATCGAAAAGACCAACTAATTTTAATTCTTGGGTAGTTCATCATAAAATATACAAAGCAGTAGAGGTTCCGTTGCCTTGGCACAATTTTCATTACGCTTGAAAGGCACCATATCACTGTCAAAAGTTCGATTACCCACTTCAAAAGGCCTTGGTTGAGCTATGGCAAGGGGGTTTCGACACCCTCTTTGACATCATCGACAATGCTTTCATCGCTATCGAAAGTTCGATTACCAACTTCAAAAGACCATTGATTTCAACCTCATCGACAATGTGTTCGCCAACAATTTCGATGTCAACAACACCCCCTTTGCCGACATTTCGGCAAGGGGCTTCGCCACCAACTTTGGTATCACCGACTTTGTCTTCGCCTTCACCACTAATTGGGTAGAGGGGATCTCCATCCATGACATCTGCAATATCTACCATGCCTACGAGGAGCCAGCCAAGGGGGATTGGCGAGGAGCGCACTGGACAAGTAATCCGCCTGAAGGCAAAAGCCTTGTCTGGCACCTAATTCAATTATGAAACAGAAGTATCAAGGGGCTCGGGGCCATATGAAAAAGCAAGCTGCCAAGGACAGGACCATGGAGGGTAGAGCGAAATTCGCCACTAAATACTAGCCAAAGACAAGCCAAAAATTTAGCCAGAGTAGTCCCCAGACTAACTATGTGAAGATGAAAACTGTGTGTCAAGTCTGAGTTGTAATTGGGCCACACCTTGTTGTATTCAGCTATTGGGTCTTGTTCTTTCGATCAAAACCGAATAGCTGAGGGGGCTACTGTTAGGGGTGTATTATATGTTGGTGACACCACTATCATGTTTCAGGCCCAATTACATGGCCTATGGGTTACAAAATAATGTTTGGGAACCCTTTGTAGCCTTTAATGGTACTAGTATAGTGCCCGTGCTAACGCTACGGCATCATTTCAGAGATGCACATGAAAATGACGAAACGATGATATAACAATAATACGGTTTTATGTATGATCTTACAAGAATCACTGGCTACAGTTGAGGGATCATGAGAACAAACTCAGAGATGCTTCACTTTAGAAGCTATCGATACATGTGAATCACTGCCAATGTGCCGCCATCGATGTCCTCGGTGTATTTGCCCACCTTGAGGTAACATGTGATGTGGCCGATAGAGAATTACAAATCAGCACGACAACACAAATACAACCACCCAATCCTAGCACATTCGCGTGGCCCATGGTACGGTAGGGCCACCGCCCCATCTCCTCCTCTGTGCCTCCCTCACCTGAGCCTATGTGTGCCAAGCGCCTCCAGCATTCTGACCATGTCATCTCCTCGCTAGATCCACCGAACCGTACCATGTCGAGATCCTCCTCCCTAGGGCCGCCTCGTCGCCAGATCCACATTTGGCTAGGCCACCCCTAGTTGTACGATGCATGGGAGAGGGTGTGAAGGTGGCGGATTTGTGGGAGAGAGAGATAGAGGGGTGTGGTGGATCTCCTATGAGGGATACGAGAGGAGACACGGTGGATCTGCTGTACGTGCGGCGTATGAGAGAGGAGACACGAGAGAAAGAGATGAGTGGACAATAGAAGTGAGACAAGGATCTACTAGGAGCCGGAGTGAGAAAAATACCATAGGATTTTGTTATTTGGTCAGGAGGAGGGCAATTACATGCATCTTAAGAGGGGCTTGTCTCTATAATTTGAATTTTGGAGGCAATCTTTGCCCAGTTATTGTCTCCGATACGATTTAAAGAGACAGTAGTTGAAAATGACCGTATCTAAAAATAAAATCCAACGATCATCTCTAAAAAATAAAATCCTTTATCTCCTACTAATTTTTTGGCAGTAGATCTTAACCGTCTTCACATAAGTACAGTACAAGGTAGGGAAACGTATCCATGGAGCCACTTTTAGCACTGTTCTTTGTCGTACTTGGCCAGCATCAGCCAGTGCACGGCGAGCACAGCGATGAGGATGGGGCACACCATTATCCATCCGCCGTCGCCTGCCTTGTACTCCGCTGGCAAGCGTGCCACCAGCATCAGCGTCACGCCCACGCACACCAGCACCAGAATGCAATGGACGATCTACACCAGCATCACAGGTCTATATGTTAGCGTGGTGATATAATAAGAATTTTAATTAAATGATGATGATCTACTGTGCAGTGCCGTACCTTGCAAATGAAGCAATTTGTGCACTCCTTGGGCATGTCGGCGTATTCCAACAGCGTCTGACGATACACCAAAGGCGCGAGCTGCTGCTGCGGCGGCGGAAATAACACTGCTGCTGGTGGCTGCATCAGCTGATGACGACGCGGAGGGATCAGTGGTTGAGACACGCTGTCCGCGATGTCGATAACGAACTCAGGCTCCTTCTCGGGGCACTCGTGATCGGAATCGGAATCAGAAACGGCGGCGGCGCCCCTCTCGACGATGGCCGCCATTGTTGTCGCCAAGATCACCAGATCAAAGAGGAGACGAAGGCGAACTCACCAAGGGGATTTACGCGGACGAAGGCGGGACCGCAGCGACCTGCGGCTCAGCGGGCGGACGGCGTCGATCTGCAAATGACGACGACGATAAGCGAGCAACCGAAAGCAAGAGAAAGGAAGGGGAAATGATCCGGCGGCTTCGAAAACTCGACGCGAAGCTCGGAGAAAAGCTTACGGCGGCGTTGAAGCTACGGAACGACGACACGAGCTCGGCGACGACGGCGGCGCTTAGGGTTGCGGCGGCTGCGAGCTCTAGGCGAGGTAGCGGCTTGCTCTAGGGTTAGGTGGAGGCGGTGTGCGCAGGGGGCACTATTTGTGGGGGCTTCGGCGTGCGGGTCACGCTAACTGAGCGAAGACGCGGAGGCGGACTCCGGATCGAGCAGAGTCCGGGTTGGAGACGGGAGCGAGGTAGGAGAGGGTGCTGACGTGCGGGGCCTGGCTGCCAGTGAAACAAGGCGGAAGAGAGGGAGAGAGACCCCTGCGCTGGGCTTTAGCCCCAGTTGGGCCAGCTCGGCCGATGGACCTGCTGCAGGGATGGGGAAGCCGAGCGGGCCAAAAGAAGGAGAAGGAGAAGGAGAGGGGAGAGGAAAAGAACTCCTTTTCTTCTTCTTTTCTAAAATTCCAAGGAGATTTTCAAATGTATTTTTGAATTCTCTTTTGAGTTTTGAAACAAACCACTCAATACAAATTAATATGCAGCGGCATATATGCACAGACATGTAGCTAGGCCTTATAGTTGTTTTTAATTTAAGAAAAGTTATTATTCCTCTAAGTTTAAATGCTCACAAAAATATATAAATAAATTAAATTAACCTATTTTAAAATGATGCAAATTTCAGGGTGTTACAAAGCAATTCATAAGTGCCGAGGGGCTTGTTTCGCAACTCCTCGCCCCTTCGCCTTGAAAGGTGGGATTGGCGCCAAAACAATTCATAAGTGACGAGGGGCTTGTTTCGCAACTTCTCGCCCGTTCGTCCCGAAAGGTGGAGGGATTGGTGCCAAAGCAATTCATAAGCGCTGAAGTGCTCATTTCGCAACTCCTCGCCCCCTCGCCAAAAAAAAGTATGAGGGTCAGTGCCAATACCAAGATTCTCTTTTCGCCATGTCTCGTCCGTTCAAATGTTATGAAGAATAGCACAGGGCGAAGATAGATTATTAACGTTGGTGCGAGATGATTGTCGGTTCTTTCGACGCCCGCACTCATCAGCCTTCAGTTTGCTGACCTGGTTTCGTCCGAGCGAAATCTGGTCGACCACCTGTAAACACAAGCACTAGAATATTCGGTTTGGAAAGGAATCCCTTCGTGCCTAGTGTTGGCCGCATTTCGCTCGCCGCTCTCGGTGCCACTTTCATTTTGCCCTTGCCATTTCGCCGGTGCGAAATGACGAAAATGGGTGACTTATCCGAAAGGTTAAGTAGGATATAACATGTTTTTTTTGGAGTATAATGCGAATTGAATACTTATGTTTACTAACCCACAAATAGGCCACAAAGCGAAGTTTTCATCATGTGCTGAAGCACAGGTCCTGACACCTGAGTGCGAAGTCTCCTCGTCAGAGCAAATAGTGCTTTCCTGAAGACTTCGCTGGTCTTGAATGCGTGGTTACTCACTGGAATATTAATGTTCGGACATCTGAAATGATTGACACTTCGCTGTTACCAGTTCGAAATCCAAAATATACACATATATACATTTTTTGGGTCACGAACAGGTGTTCGCTGAACCGAGGTGGGCACCCGTTCTTCGAAAAGCTGGTGACATAAAAAAAACAAAAACAAAATACGACTTGTGTTTCACAGTGGAGGGTAAAGCCCTAATGCTTCGTGCGTGGGTTCGAGCCCAAGCGTTTCTACAGCTTTTGTGAATTGAGGTAATGATTTATCTGAGCACAACTGGATTTGCCAATAAAAGCTAATTTTTTAATACAGAGAACAAAGGGAGCAAGGTGGTTACTAAAATGCATGTAACAAGGCCCGAAAGGGTTCAGGTTCGAAACCCCGAGTGTCGGGTCGAGCTGCGAAATGACAGAGTTTGCTAAAAAGATCGAAAAGACCAACTAATTTTAATTCTTGGGTAGTTCATGATAAAATATACAAAGCAGTAGAGGCTCCGTAGCATTGGCACAATTTTCATTGCGCTTGAAAGGCACCGTATCACTATCAAAAGTTCGATTACCCACTTCAAAGGGCCTTGGTTGAGCTATGGCAAGGGGTTTTCGACACCCTCTTTGACATCGTCAACAATGCTTTCATCGCTATCGAAAGTTCGATTACCAACTTCAAAAGACCATTGATTTCAACCTCATCGACAATGTGTTCGCCAACAATTTCGATGTCAACAACACCCCTTTTGCCGACATTTCGGCAAGGGGCTTCGCCACCAACTTTGGTATCACCGACTTTGTCTTCGCCTTCACCACTAATTGGGTAGAGGGGATCTCCATCCATGACATCTGCAATATCTACCATGCCTACGAGGAGCCAGCCAAGGGGGATTGGCGAGGAGCACATTGGACAATGCCTACGAGGGGCCAGCCAAGGGGGATTGGCGAGGAGTGCATTGGACAAGCAATCCGCCCGAAGGCAAAAGCCTTGCCTGGCACCTGATTCAATTATGAAACAGAAGTATCAAGGGGCTCGGGGCCATATGAAAAAGCAAGCTGCCAAGGACAGGATCATGGAGGGTAGAGCGAAATTCGCCACTAAATACTAGCCAAAGACAAGCCAAAAATTTAGCCAGAGTAGTCCCCAGACTAACTATGTGAAGATGAAAACTGTGTGTCAAGTCTGAGTTGTAATTGGGCCACACCTTGTTGTATTCAGCTATTGGGTCTTGTTCTTTCGATCAAAACCGAATAGCTGAGGGGGCTACTGTTAGGGGTGTATTATATGTTGGTGACACCACTATCATGTTTCAGGCCCAATTACATGGCCTATGGGTTACAAAATAATGTTTGGGAACCCTTTGTAGCCTTTAATGGTACTAGTATAGTGCCCGTGCTAACGCTACGGCATCATTTCAGAGATGCACATGAAAATGACGAAACGATGATATAACAATAATACGGTTTTATGTATGATCTTACAAGAATCACTGGCTACAGTTGAGGGATCATGAGAACAAACTCAGAGATGCTTCACTTTAGAAGCTATCGATACATGTGAATCACTGCCAATGTGCCGCCATCGATGTCCTCGGTGTATTTGCCCACCTTGAGGTAACATGTGATGTGGCCGATAGAGAATTACAAATCAGCACGACAACACAAATACAACCACCCAATCCTAGCACATTCGCGTGGCCCATGGTACGGTAGGGCCACCGCCCCATCTCCTCCTCTGTGCCTCCCTCACCTGAGCCTATGTGTGCCAAGCGCCTCCAGCATTCTGACCATGTCATCTCCTCGCTAGATCCACCGAACCGTACCATGTCGAGATCCTCCTCCCTAGGGCCGCCTCGTCGCCAGATCCACATTTGGCTAGGCCACCCCTAGTTGTACGATGCATGGGAGAGGGTGTGAAGGTGGCGGATTTGTGGGAGAGAGAGATAGAGGGGTGTGGTGGATCTCCTATGAGGGATACGAGAGGAGACACGGTGGATCTGCTGTACGTGCGGCGTATGAGAGAGGAGACACGAGAGAAAGAGATGAGTGGACAATAGAAGTGAGACAAGGATCTACTAGGAGCCGGAGTGAGAAAAATACCATAGGATTTTGTTATTTGGTCAGGAGGAGGGCAATTACATGCATCTTAAGAGGGGCTTGTCTCTATAATTTGAATTTTGGAGGCAATCTTTGCCCAGTTATTGTCTCCGATACGATTTAAAGAGACAGTAGTTGAAAATGACCGTATCTAAAAATAAAATCCAACGATCATCTCTAAAAAATAAAATCCTTTATCTCCTACTAATTTTTTTTTGGCAGTAGATCTTAACCGTCTTCACATAAGTACAGTACAAGGTAGGGAAACGTATCCATGGAGCCACTTTTAGCACTGTTCTTTGTCGTACTTGGCCAGCATCAGCCAGTGCACGGCGAGCACAGCGATGAGGATGGGGCACACCATTATCCATCCGCCGTCGCCTGCCTTGTACTCCGCTGGCAAGCGTGCCACCAGCATCAGCGTCACGCCCACGCACACCAGCACCAGAATGCAATGGACGATCTACACCAGCATCACAGGTCTATATGTTAGCGTGGTGATATAATAAGAATTTTAATTAAATGATGATGATCTACTGTGCAGTGCCGTACCTTGCAAATGAAGCAATTTGTGCACTCCTTGGGCATGTCGGCGTATTCCAACAGCGTCTGACGATACACCAAAGGCGCGAGCTGCTGCTGCGGCGGCGGAAATAACACTGCTGCTGGTGGCTGCATCAGCTGATGACGACGCGGAGGGATCAGTGGTTGAGACACGCTGTCCGCGATGTCGATAACGAACTCAGGCTCCTTCTCGGGGCACTCGTGATCGGAATCGGAATCAGAAACGGCGGCGGCGCCCCTCTCGACGATGGCCGCCATTGTTGTCGCCAAGATCACCAGATCAAAGAGGAGACGAAGGCGAACTCACCAAGGGGATTTACGCGGACGAAGGCGGGACCGCAGCGACCTGCGGCTCAGCGGGCGGACGGCGTCGATCTGCAAATGACGACGACGATAAGCGAGCAACCGAAAGCAAGAGAAAGGAAGGGAAATGATCCGGCGGCTTCGAAAACTCGACGCGAAGCTCGGAGAAAAGCTTACGGCGGCGTTGAAGCTACGGAACGACGACACGAGCTCGGCGACGACGGCGGCGCTTAGGGTTGCGGCGGCTGCGAGCTCTAGGCGAGGTAGCGGCTTGCTCTAGGGTTAGGTGGAGGCGGTGTGCGCAGGGGGCACTATTTGTGGGGGCTTCGGCGTGCGGGTCACGCTAACTGAGCGAAGACGACGCGGAGGCGGACTCCGGATCGA